GATTTTATCAAATTTCTGGGTTTATTTTGCCAAACAGTAACTTTTAGATTCTGCTTTCAGATTCCCGTGTGGGGCCGTCTGAGGAGCTGGTGGGGGTCTGAAGAAGTTGGAGCAATTAGAAGAAGAAAAAAGCCAATTGGCAAAATTCCAATCCTGAAACCAAGACCTAAAGAATAAAACATGAAATACTGACCAGCTGTTTAAACATCTGCCTTCTGTCTAAGGAACAAAGAGACAAACACATACAGTTTGGTTTTAATTAAAGTAAAATGGGTTTGTGAAGTTTTATTTTGCTGCACAATTTAATTCATCTTACAAGAATTGACTTATTGAGACTCATTTGTAATATTTTTAATGAATCTAATGTTTTTTACATAACTCAGAATAACAGATCACACTTTATTTTTGAAGTCCTAAAATACTATTAACAATAATAATATGTGTATTAAATATTTAGAAGACAAAGACGAGTAAATTCTAGAGTTGAGTGAAATGTTCATTTTAAGAGTGACACAGTTTGTCACGCACAATTTGTATGAAAGAAATATTTATAATTATCATAACTCATAAGCCTTAAGGTTCCCTGCATGCCAATTAAAAGAACAAGTCAGGTTACCTGCAGGAGGGAAGCTGTTTTAGCGACAGCCACACTCCTTAGCAATCATATCCTGCTTGATGTAGATGAAGGAGCCCCCATCTTTCAACTCTACGACCTGCAGAGGGTCATAGGCCACGGGCACACAGCACGGCGCCCGCTCGTCCGTGTTGCCACTCTCGATGTGGGAGTTGAGCAGGATGGCGTGGTTGTTGCCGATGTCGTTGGCCAGGGGGGGAGCACACGAGCCTCGGCAGGTATAGATGTTGGCACTTTGCGGGCCGTGAACAAAGCTTTCAAAGGACACGACGAGACTTTTCAACCCGCAGGTGTCCCTCATCTGTGGACTGTTGGAGTCTGCTCTGGTGGGCCGCAGCCACTTCTGCATGTCATATTCATGGGTCACAGTCTGCAGGGCCTTCAGCAGAAGGAACGCACAGTACTGACTCCCTCCTGTTCAAAGGAAGACAAAAAACAGAAGCATCAAAAAATGGTTGGTGTTTTTCTCAGCATGTGTTGGGCTAGAGTCTGTTCAGTGGTGTCACCACAACGGTTTCTGTGCTATAGGATGGATGGCAAGGTGCTAGCATTCGTAGGCTGTGTCCAAATTCAGGGGCTGCATCCATTGAAGGACCTAGCCTGCCCAGTCTATGTGGGCCGAGTCCTTTGTCGATAGTGAAAACCGGAAGATAGTGGCTGTGAATTTAGACGGTCTAACCTTTAACTTTATTCCCACCCTTACCCTTAAATTTAAACACAGCCATGGTTGATTTAGTTCTTAGGTGTGGACCTGTCCAGACTCTACAGTCTGAGTCAGGCAGCAAGGCGACCAACATTAAAAAAGCAATCGACGATTGGACAGAAGACAGAGAGGCATGTTAGCCAAATGTGAGGACATGTGTGAGCCTCAAAGAGAGGAGAGAATGGACGCCCGCCTGTCCCCACTGTGTCCTGGATGAACACTGGAATCCTGGTTGCTTTGTTCATCAGTGCTCTTTGGATCCTGTCTGCGCCGGCTGGCACCAGTTATTGGCAGGCAGCCTTCACCACTCAGGTCAGCAAGAATCAAAGGACATTTTATCGTCCMAAGTCCCACATTAACATGGGTCATTGTGATACTCTGCTGTGAGCTGAACGGGTCCTAAACACCGCACTTTGCCATCCGTTATAAACCAGGTGACATCCCTGAACAAGGTTAGCTTCTACGCACCGTCTGCTGCGTCAGTCCTCTGGAAAGCACTGAGCTCCTTGAGCCTCTCCAGCTTCTCCATGGTTCCGTGAGCGACCTTTTTCTCTTTTTCTAACTCCATTATCTGCAGTTCACTCTTCTCCAACTTCTGCCCCAGCTCTTCTAACAGAGCCGGGGAGAGGGCCAGCTGTCTGTGACGAGCCGGAAACCTGGAGCTCCAGCTATGGAAAGAGAAGATGGTCGGAGCGGAGGAGTTGATGATCCCTGCCAGCAGGACTTCGGTGGAGGACGGGCCAAGGGTCAGGGGTGGCAGGGACTGTAAGGAGTCTAGTCGGAACTGAGGGGCGTTGGAGTAGTCCCATGGCAGGACAACACCCAGGAAGCGCCTCAGCTCACAGAGGAAGGCGGTCTGAGAAGAGACCCCTGGTGAACCGGAGATGTTTGTGTGTCTAATGCAGAAAGACAGAAACATCACTGACAACAAAAAAATACTAATAATTTTGTGGGGGGTGGTGGTGGTGGGGGCACAAAAAATCCAAAGCAACCTTGTTTCTGTTCCCTTTTCTGCACAGAAAAGCAGAAGTGGAGTCAGGCGAATGTTACTTCCTGGTTTTCCACCAGTGGTTTTCCACCAGTCTTTTAGGCTTTGCTCTGCAAGGAGAGGAAATGTGAGGTGGGTTTCACATGAGACCAGACAACGAAAAAAAGAAAAAMAAATCCTACTCATGTCAGGGGATTTGGCCTTAGCAGATATTYTCCATCTCTGCTCAACATCCCCCTCTGGTGGCTTTGCTGTCAGCAGGATGTACTGTGTTCCTTCTGAGATGCAGGCAGACTGGAAGAGACGACATGTGGTCAGGATGAGCTGACGGCGGCTGCAGGAAGTCAAATCTGCACATTTTGTTGCCAACATTACTCTAAATAAATAAATGTACCAGAATCAATGTTTACACAACTGATTTAACAAGTCGCCGTGTTTTAATCAGATATTTAATTCTTACCTGTGTGTTTGGCTGCAGAGACTGACTGCTGAAAACTACAGCCAGTTCTCCACCTGTGAGGAGGCTTTCAAACACTAAGAGCAGCACCGGTTTCTGCTTGTGTAAAGAGGACTGTGGGATGTCAATGGTTATCRTGATGGTTTCTTCATCGTCTTCTTCTGACAGCTGCACTAATGAAGAAAACAACACGTGATGCTTAAAAGATTCCAAACAATGTGACAAAGTGAGGGACGGTTTAATCTAGTACTGAATTACATGTTGATGGACCAAACTAAAACTTTTAGGCCATCGAGTAATGTCTGAGGCCAATCCAACACCTCTYGTTCAGTCTCTAGGTATGGAGGACTGAAACTGACAAAAATAAAAATAAAAGCACAAACATATAAATGGTCCAATAAACAAAAAAGCCTAAAATCTAAAATCCTGAAGATAACTCAGACRCAGGGTGTACCCCACCCCTCGCACTGTGACTGCTGGAAATGGGCACCAGTGATCCACGTGACCCTGAAAGGAAGAAGCGTGTACAGAAAATGGATGGATGGATGGTGACAGACTATATGTTAAAAAAAAGTAACATAAAAAACCTGACAACCTGTTTGAAATTATTTCTTGGGGTTCAAATCTAGGTTTTTATCTTCCCTCTCACTTTTCTGAACTGAATAAGGTGTCCTCTGTTCTAGGTTCTAGGTCCAACCGGTCGTTTTTGTTCTACCTGGCTGCCTCAGGACACTACAGGATTTCTCAAACGAAATTCATGAATGAGTCAAAGCAAGACTCTGAGCATGTTTTTAAGGAGAGGATAACAATATAACATGATATAAAGCTCAGAACRTTTATTTTACATGATATTGCCCCTTTAAAAGTAAAAGACCAAATTGCTTAATTCTCATAGAGTAAATTTTTCTCTGTATTGAAATTGTCTGTTGTTRATTAATCCTGCCTTAATGTATTTGTATGAAGACAACATGTTTGTATTTTGTGTTTTTATGAGAATACCACACGCTCACACACTGAGACGCAGACTGGGTCTAGGCCTGTCATGATAACAAATTTTACTGGGTAATAAATTGTCTCAGAAATTATTGCGATAAACAATAATATTGTTGGAGACCAGTTTAAACTAATATAATAATATAAACCCCCTGTTTACGGAAGTTTACATTAAAATTTACAGTGTAAAAATAAAAACCTGTTGGAAATCCCAATATGGGATAAATCTTGTGCCAGCAGGAATTGAATTTGAATTTCTGAATTTTAAATTGAATGCATTGGTTTGAAAATGAATTTTACTAAATTGAAACTGAATTTAAAGTTTAAATTTTGAATTACTTTGCTTTGAAACTATATTTTGGTCTGTTAAAAATTATGTTGGTCTACTTTCACTTTCAGTTCCATAATTCAATTAAGGCGCCATATGAAAGCAGCAGAAAACTGAAGACGCTCCTCTGGCTAAATGCAGGCTCTCGTGTTACAGAAGTTAGAGACCATGCACCTGGCAAATACCTGACACCAGAGTTCACTCCTCTCTATGCTAAGAAGTAAAAAAAGATGGAGACAGAAAGAAAACAAACAAGCAGGCAAATGAAAATTATTGTCTTCATTTTAATTTATTTTCCTTAATTTAATTTATCGTACGATTCATTGATTTATTGTTTATTGTGACAGGCCTGTAACTGGGACAATATAGTGCCTTCTGCAAAGTTCAAATAATTCAGATTTTACCGTCAGTCTGCAGTATCTGAGAGGAAAAACAAGGAAAGACAGGTGGAGTTAAAGATCATTAAATGACAAACTGCAGATCAGTTCATTTGTTTTAACTTCTAAAAAGAATAGGTAGATCTGGCCACAAATAAAAGAACGATCGATTCTCCTGGTCCAAGCATCAGCTGGATCTGAGCCCCTTTAGCTAAGAAGCCATCAGGTTCTGCAGAGTTCAGCTTCTTTTTAGTGCAGTTTATGTTCATGTCTCCAAAGAGTTCAGCAGTTTTGTTTTGTTCCTAAACAAAAGTTCCCTGATGAAGTTATTGTGAAGAAACAGATCATTTTATAAAACCACACAGCAAAGAAAGCAACAAGTCTGACATCAACACATCATTTAGATCAATCTGTCATTTCACTTTCCACACTCTGCACAAAAACACCTCAGTGCTCATCTGACAATTTTCTGTCTTAAAAGGAATTTTTTGTGTGTAAAAAACTGGTTTGTATTATTTTTCATCCTCAAATAAAAAAAAACTCAAATAAATCAATAAAAAAAACTTTTCGCGAAACTAAACAGCAGTTTAAATACCTGCAGCTGGATGCAGAACTTCCACACATTCTGTTCGGTTTCTTCTTTCCTCAGCAAGTCCTGATAAAAGTGAGCGGGCTGAGTTTTCAGAATCCGAACAGATCCCAAACCGGGTCAGAGTGGGGTCTGTGGGGTCTCCATCATCCCTCACAGCTTCACGCAGCGCTGAGAGGGTCTCCTCCACTAAACAAGGTGCATGATGTGGGACAGGGTCTGCTGAGGGGAGGACAAACTCTGAGTTAGACTAAAAACAAAACAGATAAGCATTTGTTGCTGCAGTCTGACCTGGTAATGGGGACCCGAGGGGCTGGGTCAGGGTAGTCCCGAACCTGGTCCAGATCAGAACCAGCACCACCGGAGTCAGCATGTTTCTGTCAGTGTGAAGGTGTCTGGGCTCAGAGTGATCTGATCCTTGTTTTGTAATGGACCAAACTCTGGAGGGTGGGAGTACTGTCTTTTATGGCAAGTCCTTTGTGCAATTATTCCACACTGCCCTAACTGTTTATTAATCACCCAGTGGAACTTTAATCAACTATTTATAGCAGAATTCAAACTGGTCAACACATTCTTGTCTGATTCTAGATGTGCAGTTCTGGGGCAACTTTGCAGGATTTAAATTTACTGCATGGGTGAACATGTTCTAAAACCAGTTGATACTTTTCTGCATTAAAGCCTTTCCCAATGTGAAAGCTGCCAATATCAGAGGCACTAATGCACCCCCATACCATCAGAGAGGTCGAATTTTGAGCTGCTGATAACCAACCAGATGGCTCGTCTCCTCTTTTGTATGGAGGACAGGATGTTTGTGATGTGAAAAATTCAGACCAAATATTTATGTATTATTGTAACCAACAAGACAAATTAAATCATATATATATGGATTTAATTATGATAACAGAATGATCCAGGTATCAAAATGTAGCTTTTAAAGCCAAGAATCTGAAAATGTAATTTGGTCATTTTTACCAAATTCAACTTAATCCTCATTTTGAAATGATGGGTCACAAATATGCAACCTCATCACACTGAGTCATCTTGTCCTGCATGTCCTTTCTGGGAGATGTGTGGAAGTATGCGTGATCCTGTTGTGAAGGGTCCTCCCACTGGGTGTGGACTGAGTTCAGATGTGGTGCAGAKGGTGGTGTGAAGATGTGGCATCAGGGCGTGGAGTGAAGACGCGTGCATCAGGGTGTGGAGTGAAGACGTGTGCATCAGGAGGTGGTGTGGAGATGCTGGCCTTGTCTGGGACAACTGGAGATGAATCCACAGCGCAGTCTGGAAAACATCAACAACATTAAAATGTACACAGTCTTTATATGGTAGAAACAGTAAAGTGTCACTTATTTTTGTAATTTTTGTTTAACATTGTGAGTAAAAGTTTCTCATTCAATACTTTCACACATCACATGCCCTTGTGAATAAGGGAGATATAATTAAAGTATGGATGATTTTGATTTATTGAAATCAAGTTGGCATACTAAAAGTGACTAATGTGGTAAGACTCACTTAGGGTTTCAGGAGTTATGATAGGATTTGCTGTGCCTTCGCCCTTCTTGAACTTAGGAAAGAATAATCTACATGGGCTCTCCAGATGAGGTAGTTGCCTGCAGATGTGCATTTTCATTGAAATGATTGCAGCCAGGTGCAGTCTGGTTAAAATAGCATAAAAGAATATTACATGTTAGTTTGAAGTTACGCCATTAAAACTCATCTAACACACAGTATTTTGAATAATGAAAAAAACATAAATACAGAGTGACTAAAACAACACTGCAGCTGATATTTTTTGACCGATTCTTGAAGCCGACTACTTTTTCTTCCTCCCTCCATTAACATGATAAAAATAAAAATGATAACAAATGTTACACAAGTCTCAATTTAAAATAAACAAACTAAAAAAACATTGTGTAAAAAACAACTAAGTAAGTTAACAACTAAGCCTTGTCTGATGAGGCTGTATAAAGTGCTGCCACACAGGATTTCTTCTTTAAATTTAAATTTCTTTAAATTAAAATAAATAAATAAATTCAACATTTATTTTATCTAATGCTAAATATTCTGTTTTTATTTGTATATTCATAAGATTAACATATTTTGTTACATAAAATGACTATGTTCCCAGCTTTTGTGATGCAAAAACAGCAACACGCCAAAATAAAACTCAGAGCAACACAGAGAAAAAAGGAGAGACACACATCCATCTTGCTATCCTTATGAGGACTTCACACACAGCGCTCACAGCTTCTCTGCCTCATTCTGCTGCTCCC